ATTAATTAGTCCTCTCACCAGCATTTTAAGGCAAGTATTACTATCCAACATCATACAAGAGGAAAGTAAGTCTTGACAAGTTTAAGTAGTTGGCATGTGGTTGGCCTAGTTGGGATATGAAGCTATGTCTTTCCTATGGAATAAACTTTGTCCCTCCCAAATTCATATGTTGAAGGTCTAACCTACAATGTTTATTTGGCGATGGTGAATAAGGAAATAATTAAGGTTCAATGAGGTTATAAGTGTAGGGCCCCGATTCCATAGGATTAGTGTCCTAATAAGACACAGCAGAGAGCTATCACTCTCTCTTTCTCTCTCTCCACTCCCCCCTTTACACATGCTCAGAAGAAAGTCATGTGAGGACTTTGTAGCCATATACAAGTCAGGATGAGAGACCTCACCAAAAACAGATGATAGATCTTCCTGACTTGATCTTGGATTTCTGGCCTCCAGAACTGGGAGAAAATAAATTTCTGTTGTTTAAGAAACCAGCCTATAATATTTTGTTATGACAACCTTAGAAGACTAAGATAGTCTTAATATATATTAACTGCTATGACACCTCTCTTTCCTTAGTTAATTGTATGGAAGGAAGAGAACGTGGATTATCTAGTTGTCAGTCCTAGGTTTCTTTGCTACTGATAACCCTATTAACCAAGGGAGTGATAGCAGCATCAGTGGCTGAGTAGCATCCTAGCCCTACCTTTTCTCCTTGGTTTAATCAAGACCAAGGGATGAACAGTCATAGACATCAAGGTGTGGGCAGAGATAGTGGCCTATGATTGCCCTGTGAAAAGTGACAGTTGCAGATTTGCTTCCAGGTTTGGAAAATTCAAAAGTTACCATTTTCTATGTGACTGAGATTGATCATAGAACAGTAGGGCTGTGAGGCTTCTACCTCTGGTAGCAGAACTGCTTCACCTAAATACATGATTGCATGTATGCATATATCTCACTGTATATATCCTCTGGGTAAACACTGGGTTATCTGATGATGGGTCCAGTGCTGGGTCTCATCTAGTATTCATTAGCTATGTGTACTTCGGTATTCTTAACCTCTTTGATACTCTTTTTTACTCATCTTTAAAATGAGGTTAATAAGCTGTCTTTCACAGTACTAATATGATGCCCAGAAACCAGTAAATATTTGGTAAATGGTAGATATTATTATTATTATTATTATTATTATTATTATTATTATTAAAGATCCATGTACTTCTATTTTTAAACTAAGATTTTAGAATTAAGTCTTTAGCCCTTTGACCTCAGGCTAACAGTATAAAGCATTCATACTAGAGTGACTTCCCCATGGATACAATCGCCTGATAATATACTTGGTCTCTGGGTTGGGTCCTTCTTGGTGCTGCTGTGTGCAGGAATATCAGAATGTTCATCTTTTTTTAAAGGCCACCAAGTAGAAGTTTATTGTGTTTTTTTCTTGGTGTGGGGGGGAACTTCTACATAAACATATAATGATATTTCATATGTGTACATGTGAACGCCATCATATTCTACATGCTTGTTACTTAAACTGTACAAATCAAACCCCTGAAGTCTATCTACTAAGGAGAAATAAATCTGGGAGGTGGAGCAGGCAAGCCTATCTTTGAAGTAGGCTTAAACTCAAAAGCATAGGCATTCAGGCAGGCAGAGGAAGGAAGGAACATGCTGTACCCACCTGCCACTGCTGATGAGGGGCTTATTTCTAAGACATACACAGCACAATGCACACACAATGCAGAGAGAAAACAAAAGACATAGATCACACATTTCAGATGGTTGATGGACAAAGTTTAGTTAATGTCAATGCTGAAAGCTTGTTCAGGATCTGAGGTGCACATGGGAAAATGATTACCTTTTCATTCTACTCACCAGGTGCTTCCCTCTAACCAAATCTCAGCAAATATACAAATACATACACACAAGAAATATCACAACAAGCTGGCCCTGGTCCATGGTGTGAAATGTTATTACACAAGGAAATGAATACAGAAGTATGGGAATATTGAGTGAGAGAAGGACAAGGGCTTTGGGGTGGGGGTGGGGGGATCAATCATGGCTCTGGAGAGCTCTCCATCCTTGTGGGAGGGAGAGACTTTCAGAGAAGGGTTTGACACTCCAGCTGTGGATAGAACAGTCATCTTAATGAGGACTGAGGACTGCTCTCTTCATTCCAATGAATGAGAATATGACATGGCAATCAACATGAGAATCATGATGGCAGCAGTTGACTTGGTTTAAAACTATAAATATAAGCCTCAGAATGATAGACTCTTACTAAAGAAGTTAACTGAAAATTATATCTAATTTACCCCCCAGACCTTTACATAGTACTACAATTGAACTGTTCCATGGTTTTTTCTTCTTTACAGCAATCACCAATGAACTCGGTTCAGAATTTGGTTTACCTTTTTTGTAAGGTATGAACCTTGTCTTTCAATAGACAAAGAGACATCAATTACCTTGTAAACATCACTGTATCACATGCTAGGAGAATGACAAGGAGAAGCATTTCATGTCTAAGGGTGGTGGGTTGAGCAGTATGGATGGATACAGGCCAAGCAGATCTTGCTTTCCTCCCTCTTGAGTCCCTCAAGCTCCCTCGCATGGCCAAGCCCACTGCATCTAGGCTTCCTGAACTCACCATACAGTGTGATGCTGGCGTTGGTGTTCCCAAGCTTGTTTGTAGCCACACAAGTATAGTTTCCATAATCTTTTTCTGAAACATTGAAGAAAGTCAGAGTGGATATGCGACCTTTGTTCTCAATCCTCACGCCGTCTAGGCCCGTTGCTAGCCTGCAATAAGAGAAGGCACTGCTGGTCTGGTTCTATAAGAGTGGGACAACAGACAGAAGGTGCTGGGAGAACTCTAAGGTAGCTCCGATTAATCTTACAAGAAGGGCTTCCGCCTTGCAACATTTCTTTCCTCTAACTAACCCAGTCCCAGTAACTCGAACCATTAGTGCCACAGCCTCTGTCAGCAGACAAAAGGCTAAATTTACTGGCTTCTATTCATCAAAGACTGCCATGTCTACAAATAATCTCAGGTTCTGAAACAAGGTCAGTTTATTTTGCCCAGATCTCAGTTTCCTCCATTTTTTTTGTTTGTTTATTTCTGGTTCTAAATGGAGACTGGTATAAAGGAGGCTAAAATGCATTTTGATTCTGCCATATCTTTCTCCTTTATTTTATCATTCTTCTTTCATGTGGAAAATGATCCACTAGCTCTACTTCAGACATGCCCTGTTTTCATTTTCAAGGTACCTGGTATCTTCCTTGAACCACTGGAATTCAGCTGTAGGTACTGCAGAGGCTTCACAGCTCAAGATGCCCTTCTGACCAACTGAGACACCAGTGTTCTTGGCTTTTGAGATATAAGGAGGGTCTGTGGGGGAAGGGGGAAATGCAGAGTGATTTCATAAAATGGATGAAAGACACATTTAATCACCTGCTGTGCAAATGGATTTCTTATTACACCCCATGTTCCCAGTTAAATAACCATTTGTTTTAGGAAAAGAACTCTTGCTTAAAGATATTGCATTTATCCCTGCATTTTTTAAGACTTTAAACCAATTCAAAGTTAACAATTTTCCCCATTAGTTAAAAACTGTGACAGTCAGGGCAAATGGCAGTGTGGCAGTGATGGGGCACACCATCCGATAAAGTATGTTTCCTGTTGGAAACAAACATTACAATTACCAACTTGTTCCCTTAGTCCCTATTTTCTCTTTCCCCCTGGAACTCCTTGACAATGGGTCAACTTACAGTTAACGGTAATTTTGACTTTTCGCACATCAGGTGCAGCAACATCATTCAAGGCGCTGCATTCATACTCCCCGGACTGGTCACGTTTGATGTCAGAGATTTCCAGGTATTCATCTTCACTCACAAAACCCTGGCCTTCTGGGAGGAAAAAAACAGACAGGAAGCAATCATGAAACTGTGAAAAACAGGGACAGAGCTCTACGAACATGCAGAACTTGTAGGAGATGGGATATGGAAAGCTATAGAAACAGGGTTTGAACATTAAGATTATAAAACATCATGTTGGCTCAAAAGCATGGCATTTGAAAAAATGAATTTTCTGCTCGAGCCTTGGATCAATGTGTTTTTGTCCAAGTCACTTTAACAGTTAAGACCACTTAATAAAGAGATATTATTTTACTCATGTGACTATTATGAGGATTAACTAAGAGAGGACATGCAAAATAACACAACACATCACTAAACTTTGATATTTTAAAGAGAAGTGTCATAATAAATAATATAATAAAAACTGTGGGGATAACTTTAGGATATTTTAGTATCGACATCCTAATTTTTCACTAGGTAGCAATGTCTGAATAGAGAATACAAACTACTAACTACATGTTGAACAAATAAGTGACCACTTCGCATTTTAATAGAAATAAATGCAAAGCATTTGGTTTGGTTTCAAACTGTGAAGGAGTAGATAATATGGAGAATGAATGAATAGGAAGCATTTTGTGACTGCTATGTAGTAGGTACTCAATAAACATTTGCCAACATAAAATAAGCATGATTGGTCCAAATAATGGATTCACGGTTAGTAGAACAACCTCATGGGTTTAATACTCAACTCTGTGGGGGCATTTTGGAAGCTTTATTTTTAGGTACTTGTGAAGCTTGCAATTTATGATCCAAAATATTCTAGGGCTACACAATTTACATTGCTCACAGCCTCCGTTGCCACAATTTCTCTCCTCTGCCTTATTCATTAACCCACCCTGTGGTTCAGTGCAAAAAGAATAGATTCTCTGACTTGAAATACAAATGTTCTGAGTTCTATCAAAGCACCAGACTCCAGTGAAAACCCAGCCAACACAAAGGCCAAGGAGGAAATACAATCATTTGCATTTCTTATAAACCTGCTGCCTAATTCCTTTCTGTGCTCCAGGAGTTAGAGACAAATTAGATTTGCGGACTATAAAAACTCATCACAACTTTCCTCACACCCCCATGGGAGTATATTTTGATCCAGTGGGTGCTCAATCAACTAAGTCTGAGTTCACCATGGATATGGTGCAGGTGGGTATGGTGTCTCTGGTGGATGGGGTGATGGGTGAATGTAGGAAGGCAAGACCTTTGGCATCTTGACTTTGCTCCAAGTCTAAGCCTTGGGGAGTATACACCCACTCTTTCTATTTCTCCAGAATTGCTTTTCAAATCTTGCTGCCTTCTCTGCCTCCATCTCCCACCCCAGGTCATGCTCTACCATAAGTGTCTGCATGCTGGTTTCCAGATATCCCTGGAAGGTGTGGGGTCCTAATCAAATATTTTCCAAGGAGCCCCTCTCTATATAGATATTTGAGTCACCTAAAATCAATATCATTCTTATATACCAACCACATGCAATCCTGGTAAAGAAATCTTGCATTAGCCAGCAGGAACAATCTATTTGCCAGGCCACAACATAGACCTGTTGTCAGGGCCCCAGAACAAGCCCACAGGTGTCAGTTTTGTAATCTGGGATATCTGATTGAATCCACGTGAGGAATGGTTAGAGTAGAAATTGGACATGTGCCCTGAAGGGGAGGGAGAAATGGGGCCTGGGGCAGGCCCACTTTCCCAGTCTAGAATCTGAGTGTCTCTCCTGAATGGTATTGCTGGCCTAGGCTGGTCTCAGACACCAGAAGGAGACTTAGAAAATCTTAAGGAAGACACTCCAGAGCATGCTGCCTCCTGGGGTTTGGGATAGGGCCCTATGTAGGGCCCTATATCCCAATATTTGGGAGTGACAGTGCTGGTCACAGCCCTCTACCCTGACAAGCATTCAATCATTCAGTCTAGCTCATATCATAATTTCTCAAGGTTCATTAGAGATATATAAACATCTCATCCTTTTCCCCTTATTTTTCTTAGACTTAACAGTATCTCAGAGTTGAAGGAAGTTCTAAGATCACTTATTTCAGAAAGAAAAATGAATATTGCCTCACTTGTTAAAATAATGCTGGCTGACCAACATAAGTATTTATAAAGGATTAAACAACAATTAAATCAAACACACCAAAATGACTTTCCAGAGTCTCTGTACTACACCTTTCTTGCAATGAATACATATGGCAGCATCGAAAGTTTAGCTTCCTATTATGAAGACACCATTATTCTTTCAAAATATACTGCAACGTATTTGCCATAGGTAGTTAAACCACATGGCATTTAACCAAGCAAATGAGCTATGTGCAGTGCACCTAGCAGGAACCTTCTCTGACCCCTTTCCTTGGAGAGAATAAGACAGGATCACTGACCTCTTTCCTTGGAGAGAATAAGATAGACCATACCATGCAGCACGGTATAGACCAGACATATGCCTTAAAGCCCTTGTTAAGGCAAGTCAATGAATGCCAGTCAATGTAGGGGTGTTGGCTGTACAAAGGGAAGGGATCACTTTAAAGAAGATAGAGGCCAGTGTTATGGGATTGTGAATGATTCTCTGCATTTGTATGAGTAGAGCAGATCCTCGATCCTTCATGGGGGAATTATAGGATAAAACATTCACCTTCTAGAATGTAGGGTTTATTTTCACTATCTGTAATGATTTTTTTTTCTTTTTATGGGATGGTTATATGACAGCAAAAAAGGGAGGAAAGAAGAGAGTGTCTCATGTAAAATGGGGATCATTACAATAATACTACCTCATTAAGTGAGAAAATGAATTTGTCAAGTTTGTACTATAAAGTAAGTGCTTCTCAGTTTTTAATTTGCATATAAATTCTTCTAGGATTAAAAAAAACTATATAGAGCTGATTCAGTAGGTTTAGAGTAGGCCCTGGGATTCTGCATTCCTAACAAGTGCCCAAGTATTTCCATGCTGCTTGTCTGGGGCCCACTCTCTGAGTAGTGAAGCAGCTAAAAGGCACCACCAAGTACTGCTCTTGGCTCCCTCTTCCTCACACAGTTATAATCATCTGGGTCTGTGAAGTGGACAGCAGATCAACAAAGGCCACTGAGTGCCTCTCATGCTGAGGTCCCTGTGGAGCCTGCTTCTCAAAGGACACCCTGTCTTTGGTGTACCAGGCTCAGTATGGTACATTGAGGCTGAGTATCTGGACCTTTGAAGCTAACTTTTCTGTCGAGCCTTTATGAACTCACTACAAAACATGCATCCTGTCAACACTTTCTTTGCTAAGAAATGGGAAGCAGATGTTGAAACTCAAGCCCACTGAAGGTGATGAGATGCTATTTTCTTAACCACTTTGAATACTGGGTGAGAATTTTTAAACAGAACAAATCTAGGTTGCTAAATGCCTGGAGACCTAGGACACCGCAGGGTTCAGTGCTTTCCCTGCCCTCTCCAATTCTGGTTGCAATGTAAAATTCTGATTCCATGCTGCAGAGAAAGGGCAGAAGGCAACAAATGTTTTAATCCTCTTCACTAGCTGCCAAGAAGGCAAACTGCTGACTACGAAGGCAAAGGTGGGAGGGGAAACAGAGCCAAGGAGAAACACAGAGGGAGGAATAGGAAAGGAAGAAGAAGGACAATGAAGGATGCTCTGGTGTGAAGGAAAGAAAAGAGGTGCAGGAAAGATGGCCGGGGTGCCAAAGGAAAAATTAAAAGGGATTAAAAAGAAAGATAGGCTAGGATACTATGATATTTCCTCTGACCAAATGTATGAACACAGGAGTTTCGAGTCTGCCCCACAGTTCTGTTTTGTGGTGAGATGTCCTGTAAAAGCCTGTTACCTAAAGGCATCATCAACCTGCCCTGTGCATTCAGACTTCCAATTTAACGTGAGCGGGAGCAAAAGGAAGTGGATCCTGAATCATTGGCAGAAATATATTTTTAAAAACAGGAGTTATTTCTTTCCATGGAGGAGTGCTTTGAAGAAGTTAAGTTTCAGTTCACTGCATTAACAAGATTAAGATCTGCAAGGATACAAAGGGGACCATTTATCTGTGGATGTGGGAAGTCTGTTAGCCAGGACCCCTCAGACACAGGATACGTGCCTAGTGATTGAGTGAGTGAGCCCAGGGTTCTGTGGGCACAAGGGGGCTTCTTCTGCAGGGATCATATTCTGAGTTAACATAGTCACATAATATAAAGAGCAAGTCACAGACAAGCAGGATCTGCTCCATCTTAGAAATGGAAAAGCAGACAGAGAAACTGCCTTGGGAGAAGGATCCTGGTACCACCTGGTGTCCCCGATACCACCTGCATTTATTTTACTCATACCTGCCATGACAGAAGTGTTGGATTAGACTCTATGGGGGGCGGGGGGTGGAGATGATGTAGAAGACAAAGTCCTTAACCTTGGGTAGTCTACAGTCTCATGAGCCCAGAACTGGAGCAGTTTATATTTTTCTGTCTCTAGGCTCAATTCTTCAATTCTTAATTATTTTTAGATCCCTCAAGTAAGGTATGGGGCATCAGAAAAATTCATTAGAGCTGAAAGAAACCTAAGCATTCAGGGATAAAGAGATCAAGTTGGAAATCCAGAGTAAATCCTGGAAGTTTCTGACTCAGTTTCCCCCTTTACATCCTGTTCTTCCATGCTGGCTATATCTTGGCCATCACACTTATGCCCAATTTTTGCCCCTTTTTCCTCAGCCAATTCCTTAGAGTTACAAAGTTGAAAGTACCATGATTTTAGCCTTCCACTTTTTTTGGATTATTGTCTCTCACAAAATATCTTCTCCTCTGTGTGAATATCCCCAGGGATGACTTCAAGGGGTGATCTATTCCTCTGCTAGACTATTTACCTAGTTCAAAAAATTATCCCCATATTATGGCAAACCCTGGCTGGCTTCTCTCTTTGAAATGATTAGAAGTTGCCTCCTAGGTGCCCCCATCCCACTGTTCTTCCTCATGAGCCATGGAAAGCTGCTGCTCTATCTATGAAAGCTGCTTTGTGAGGTTAAATGTCAGCACCTGTCACAACTTT